GGGAGACGAAGCCCGCTGACGAGTTGCTCCCTAAAGACCATGATCTCATCCAGACCGTGTTCCCAAGGAAGTTGCCGGTTGGAAGACTATATGTGTATTCCTGAGGTAGGTTGAAGTGCTGGACGAGGTGCTGAAGTCTCTCCAGCGTCATAGTGGATGGACCGAACTGATTTGGTACCCGACCTCGACGGGAGGTGGACGTCAGCCTACCCGAGGTCACCCGTGCTTCGTGGGAAGGCTGGGCAACAGCGGGGTCACCCCGACTCGAGGTACCCACCTCAGGCTCGTCTTAGAGACCATCCCCGCTAGACATTGAATGAACTGAACTGAACTGAAAAGAGAGAAAAGGAGGCTCGGGGGCTTACCAAGAAAAAACGCAACCGAACTAGAACTGGATGAGTTAGAAGACCGAACTAAAGACTCCAGATGCGAGCTCAAGTTAGACGAAGGATACTTAGTGGCGGAAGAAAATGACCAGGGTCCCCCGCTATTTATAGCCGCTAGGCCCGGGCACCGACGGTTATGATCGAAGCAATCAGATGGTTCTCAAGAAAACCGGCTGCGAGGCTTTCGAGGTGAAATCAATTTAGCGCATTTTTTGGCGTCCGCGAAGTCCATATCGCGTGAGTTGTACGCAGCCCGGGTTTTTCCTTCCGAGTGAACCGAGTGCCAGATCGGTTTGGCCAACGGGTTGCCCGACAGGGTGGCATAAGTGCCGAGCCAAATCCACCTGGCGCACCGTGAACTCCCAGCGCTAGGTCAGCACCCCCAGCACGGGGAGTGGGGAGAAATTGATGAAGGGTGATTTGGCCCGACCTCGTAGCACAGGGACACATGTGTGTGACCTGGCTCGATGAACAACTCAGCCTAACAGCACAACCGTGACTCGACGAGAGGGAGCCGTCGAGTCCAACATTGGCCACCCGACGGGTTAAGCGACTCGTCGGGGACTAGCGTCCGACCAACCTTGACTCCCACCAAGTATGGGATGTCCCGAACTCCTCTCAGGGCCTGAGCTCCCCTTGAGACCTGAGCTCCTCTTGAGGGGCCCTGAGCTCTCCCTTCCTAAGAAGGGAGCACCTCGGTTTTTGGCTAAGTGTCCCGAGGGAGAAACACCTCGGGGCAGCACTGTCGAGACTCCTGTTCAAACTTGCTTAAGGCCCGCCTCCAGTACAGGCACCTCGGCGTACCTCGGCACCTCGACACCTCGGTGCAAGGCAAACCTGCCCCGGGGGGTTCGGCGTACAATAGCTGGGCAGGTTGCAGGGGGATCTGCTTGACATCCATACTTGCCGGATCCGGTGGCAGGGCTCTGATCCCTTGACAGGCGGCATTCTACTTGCCAGGCGGTGTTCTGCTTGCCGTCTCTGAAAAGCATGGCACGACTATCGAGTCCGTACCTTTCAACAACGGCCTGTAGCAGCAACCTGTACCTGCCACACCTGCCCTGGTAGTAACGGCTAGGGCAGTGGCGGTTATGCTTGATGTGACCAGCTCCGGTATAAAAGGACTCCAACCCTCACGAAGCAAAGGTATTGAAGCTAGCACTCTCAGCACTCTTACTCTCTGTTTTTCCTTGAGATTTCTCTAGAGCTCTAACTTAGCCTTTGGAGTGTTCCTGCCGGGAGAGCTGCCCGGGAACCCTTCACTTTCTTCATCCTCTCAGGTGCAGTTTGTCACAGCTAGGAGCCAACTCTCAGCCAGCTAGGAGTGCCCAGATTGTGCAGCATCAATCATCATCGTTGATATTGACTACATTGGGGAATTGGTGCTGAGAGCGAGATGAGGAGCCGATCATTTTTTTTAATTATAAAAAGAAATTAATTTAATTGCACTTACTTGGATTGTAGGGTTGGAATTTAAACTTGATTTAAATGGTTGAAGCCTCAAAGTCTCCCAAGTTGCTAACTTGAGATATCCAAGCAAGCGTTTTTCTTGTTGAAACTTGAATCAAGTTAAGAATTGGAGAGTAGAGAGAGTATAAGAGTATATGTGAGAGTATGGTATATGAGAAGAGATTGAGATTTGAGAGTATGTGAATTGGTGTAATGAGAATGGTAGAGGATAAGTCTATATATAGGAAGAAAATAATTTATTTCCCCAAAATACCCTAAAAACTAGCTATCTTTTAGTTGTTGGGAGGGGTATTTTGGTCATTATAAAGTCATTTATCATTTTGCCTAAATACCCCATAAATTAGTTGTTATATAGTTGTTGGGGGGCATTATTTTCATTTTATCTCCCTAAAGCCAAGATACATAAATACCCCCTATATAGCTATTTATAATTGTTGGGGGGGTCTCCAATGGCTAGTTCTTCAGATGGGCCAAGCACGGCCCACTACGGGCTTGCGGTCTAGGCTATGCCGGCCCAACCTGCTGACTTGAAACCCGAAGCCTGGCACGACCCATCGGCCTATACAATCGGGTTGGGCTGGCTCAAAATCGTGTTGGGCCGCGGGTGGCACAACCTGATTTACTTGTGTTCGTATTACTTAGTTCTTTGTTCTGTACGCAATTGGGTGCTTTAATCTTTTCCACTCCTAGTTAATGAGCTGCAATTGATACTTAACAAATATTTTTGGGCTTTGTTTCCTCTTCTTGAGGAAGAAGATGATGAAGAGTGTTTTATTTTGAAAGGTAATTTTGACAATTTGAAAGTTTTAAGTCACACATGTTATCATTTGGCAAGATAACTGTCGGATTGTTAATGATGGGAGTAAATTGGTACATTTTGGAAGTTTAGGTATTAGATTGGCATGTTTTGAAGTTTGAAGACCAAAGTGACACTAGGGACAAATTATAGGGTACTAATTTGAAAATTTCCCTTTTCTTTATTACAAATTCATTTTTGTAATTTGTCTCCATATTTTTTTTAATCAAAATACACAAAATTTGTTTCAACACCAATGCACTCAATGTGAGTCAATTACAAATGGATCAGGTCCAATCCAATGAATATTGTTGACCATTTTAAGCTGGTCCAATTCAATGTCTAGATCGTCCAATCTATTCAAATTTGTTTTAATTTATATTAATTCTAATTCAAACATAGTTCATTGACACCTATATTCCTATCTATTATGAATGGACCAGATATTGGCTCTATCCGCCCAGTCCATCCAGATTGATTTTGTTTTGGACAGGTCCAATCCAAAACTGGTCCATTGACACCCCCTACATACATTAGCATGCATGTAGCTTTCCTCTTACAATCCTATAAACAAACAAGCACGCAAAACATTTGAATAACTTTTGATTTTGTTTCCCTTAGCCATTTCTAAACCTTTTATCACCTTCTTCAATCCGTAAGGCATTTCCTTGCCCGCCTTAAAGACTCCAAGATCACCCTTATTCTTGTTCATGGAAGTATAGTCACGTGTTACGATGCTCCCACAACATGTTGGGATTGTGTTGACAGCCATCAAGTTGGTAATAAATCCGAAACCTCAAGGAACATGATGAGGGGGTAATTTGGTCCTCCAATGACATAATGACACGTGGCATCTCATAACAGATAGGTGACACCTTGGCACCACATAAGTAGATCACTTCAAAACACTTTATAATTGCATCAGTAACCTTGGGGCCACCCGGTAGACTGAATTGCAAACAACTAGATGGGATCTCAAGTTACTGTATGAAGCAACCTGCTTCCACCGGACTAACTCGGTCCTGTCAAGATGTCAGGTTGGCATGAGAGGCGATCCACTCATGCCAACCTGACCTGAGTTCACTTAGCGACCTGCCGGATCTCCTTTGATTGAGTTATTGACGTCCACACGACCTAATAGTTGCATAACGTTCACGCGTTCCCCGGTACGTTACTTTATGCCTAGGCTGGACTGACTAAACCGACCCGATCCCGAGCCATTGGTCGAATCACGAGCAAGGATGGAGAATGGACCAAATTGCCTCAAGTCATAACTACTTCCTCGTTGGACTAGCCACCCTGTACTCGAGAGAGGGGGAAATTTTGGTCCTTCAATGACATCATGACACGTGGTATCTCAAAATAGTTGGGTGACTTTGGCACCACATAAGCAAATCACCTTGGACACTTTATAATTGCATCAGTAACCTTGGGGCCACCCAGATAGACTAAACTGCGAACAACTAGATGGGATCTTAGGTCAGTGTGTGATGTGACTTGCTTCCACTGGACTACCCCGGTCCCATCAAGATGTTAGGTCGGCATGAGAGGCGATCTGCTTCTGTCGACCTGACTTGAGTTCAGTTAGCGACCTGTCGAATCTCCCCCTTTGAGTGAGTTATTATCTCTGACTTCTCCAGGATCACAATGCTTGGCTGTTAGACCCGTATTTCCGCATCATTTGCATCAAAGTTGATCAGACGGACCTTATTCCTCTGTATAGATTACATATCCACCTAAGAGATCTCCTCTGAACTTAGCGGACACGGTTCACATTACAAGAAGCTCATTGTTTCTTACACCTATATAAAACTCCTTAGAGAAGGTATGCGTGCGATTCAAATCTAAAATACTCTTAGCTATTTCGCTCTCTATCTCCTAAATTTCCAATTTGCTTACTTAAACATCATAATGCCCACTGGACACTTTAATACTGTTTCTTTTCAATTCGACTCCACGAAGTAACCAATTCATCATCCGAGTCACCTTTCAACATGAAACTGTCAGATCGTACATCATGAGAACACATTGCAAATTTGAAGAATTACAATTTAATAGCCTAATCTGAATTCATCAAGCCTCGGGGTGCTTTAAATAGGTTTTGAATCTTAGAATACTTAAAATATTTGTCAGAACTGAATGGGTATTTGAGTCATTTACCCTGCTTCGTTTGGGATCGTAATGGGAGTGCTGTGACTACAACCGCCAGATGTGAATTCGAACAACAGCTGCACTCTCTCAAGAGCACGCAACTCTCCACGTTTCCCGTATGCCGTACGGTTCATTTTACATAAGGAATTGGGAAAAACTTTGTCTGTTGATAATTTGCATGACATTCACTTGTCGCATTGTGAAGGAACCACGTCGTGGACCTTCCTATAAAAATGATCTTTTATCTCAACCATGCTGAATCGATCTTTTCCATTAGACATCTAGCTTCCAATTCCTCTGAGAAGAAGAAGAAGAAGAGATGATGAAGAGGAAGCATCTATCCACCATTGCCAACGACGTTCTTCAAAAATGTTCACAGTACTCTCTCTCTCTCTCTTTCACTTTCTCTCTGCACTTGTCGTCTTATATGATACTTGTAATGGCTCAGATCCATATGATGCATGGGTTACAAATCCAACAAATTTAATCGTGCAATTAATGGGCTCCATCTGAGGAAACACTTTGAACCAGAAATCAACATAATAAGGTGATCATCGTATGATCAGTTATATACTGTACTTCTACAAGCTATTAGGAATGATGAGTTCATTGAGTTGATCGATCAAGTTCATTCAATCAATCTGGGGTTCTGCTAATGAGGTAGATTGATTATAGTGTGATTTTGTGCTTCACTTGATCTTGATCTGTTAATCATTGTGAACTACGTTCAGTTCGTCGTGTACTATTGTTAAACGGGGTTTTAGCAGCAGGACAACTATTCACTAAATTTGATGTTATCTGTCTGGATGACATGATCCTTCGGTCTAACCTGATTAAACTGATTAGTCTCTTCAGGTTCAGATTGTTGTTAATTGATGTCAATAGCCGGGGTAGTACTGTCTCCTTGCGTGTGAAGAGAAGAGACTGGTTTTCGGGGGCTTCAGGGTAAGAAATACAACAAAGATAGCTGTTAAAGATGTTCATCAAGGAATAAAAAAGGAGGGGAGCTGAAAGAGGTCATGAACTGAAAGATATCAGGTTCTAGAATACTTGCAGTTATAAGAAAGATGTGAGAATAGGATTCTGTTGCAGCCAAATAAAACCTAGATGGTTGCAATTTCAGTTGCAACTCACCAAGAAAGGCAAAAAAGGGGTATGGATATGGGTGGTTTAAGGATTTGGGTGATTCATAGAGATAATTCATATAATCCTTAAAATTGGGATTGCATATGGACCGTCTAGATTATCAAAAGAAAGTGGAAACATACTGAAGTAGAAGACAGAACAAAATCACAGGCTGCAACATGAGCAGAATATGGTTGAGAAGGACCTAGCTGAAAAGGTAGGATCATCGCCAGTTGGCTTGTTTGACTGAACGTATTCAATTGCTCCACTAGAACAGTACTCAATCCAATGATTGGGCTTGTTGTATGCTAATTAATTAATTAATTAAACTTCATTATGAATGGTCAAAACTGTTGGTGTTTATTTATTAGTTTCTGCAAAAGGAAGTAGATGCTCTTTCATGAAAATAAAAGTAAGCTAAGTGGATTCCACCAATCAGAGGAAACAGGTTGTTTGTAAAGTGTACACAGTCACTTTTAGCTTGAGGTCTTTTTTTGGCAGTAGATGCTCTGTTGTGTTACACCTATTCAGATTATATCCTTTCATTTGAAACATAAATGCCCAATGCAGCTTTTTATTTATTGTGAAGTGAAAATTTGAGACCATTGTGCATACTTTCACTACAAACAAAAGTGGAATGCTAAATTCTCCGTGCAGTAACCACAAGATTTTGCAGGATTCTAGACATCTCTGTAGATGGCCTTGTGGAAGATTTTGAGGCAGGGTGGAAGGCTGAAGGACATGGTTATTCCAGGAAACTGGTGGAGTTCTGCAGCTCAAAGGCTCTTAGTAACATCTGTTGTAACATAGAAGATAAAATTGCCGATGGGTCATTTAGCCGAATCACCTTTGATATGATGCTTGCTTGGGAGAGACCCAGCTTAGAAGATGAAGAGTCATATTCGGTTTGCATGTTGCCTTGTCTTTTATGAATTAGTGAAGAATGTATTGTTTGTACACAAATGTGTAATAGTTATTGACTCATGGTTATACTGATTTAGGTTCTCATTAGTATTCAAACAGAAGCTTACATTTGTGATTTTGATCAGATATTAGAGCCAGTGCCAGCATTTTCACATTCTACACTGTTTATCAATTGTTGGGATGTGGTCTAGCTACCATTGCTATAAGATGAAGAGTTTGGCTACTCTTTATAATATATTTGGAAAAGAAATGGAATGTGAAATATCAAGGGATATTTTTCTAGTAAAAAAATTGAAGTTTGTTTTTAATTTACCATACAGAGTAATACATAATATAAACAATGAGCAACCATTTGGAGTTGGTACCAACCTTCTATTTTTATCTTTTCATTCCCCTTTTTTGTATGGGTTTGCCTTGGCGTACTGACAATGTTTCTATACCTTCTTCTAGGAGAGTGTGGCTAAGCAGAAAGAAGAGAATAATATACCTCCAAAAGGACGTGAAGAACATGATGATATCCCTCTTTTCTACTCTGACATCATGCCACTACTTGTAAGGCAGTGATATCTTTCTAAATGTTTTTAGACATTAAACAATGCATATATTTTTCCTCATTAATAAATTGGTAAACATCTTCATCACCATCATCCATCCCTTATCCCAACTATATGGGGTTGGCTACTTGAATCCTGTTTTGCCAATCAGTTCTATATATTTGAAAACCTATCCACTGTTAAATTATTAGTGCGTAAAATGATACACATGCAGAACATAGAAGATGTATCCTTGTTTGTCACTAAAATCTTAATAATAACTCTATGATTGGTATTAGATGAACTAACATTCAAAGGCATACTTTTAAATAGGGATTAATCTTGTATGATTATATTAGTGATTATATGATCACATATGCCTTCCCTTAAAGATATTTTCATGTTGGTTTTCTGTTAAGTATGGGATTATTCTTAGGCCATAACTTTGCATTTTTAGGTTAGTGAAGATCCAAGCATTGGGGAAGATGCTTTTGTGTGGATGGGATCCTTGGCTCCTTTACCTGCAGACATTGTGAATGGCCAATTCACTTTTGAAGCATTAACAGCAACAACTGCCAACCGGCTTCACTTCCCTGCTTATGACAGATATATTAAAGAAATTGACAAGTAACACATCTCTCTTATATTGTCTTACAAATGCATACTTCTTCCAAAAATATAAAAGAAAAACAAATAGGTGCCTCTTATAATTTCATCATATCTATAGCTTATCTCTATGCCATGCTTGTAGCTAGTGAAACCGCATCATATTGTTAGCTGACAAAATAATATAGACCAGGGAGATTTCATTATTGTTTTTTTGGTTGTTTTTTTCCTTTTTCCTTTTGGTGGCATACAATATATCTCAAGTAGGACTGTCAAGGATCTAGGTTGTGCTAATAACATGATCGGATCAGTCCCTACTATAAAGGGTCTGGGACAGGTCCTTGACTCCTAATTCCAATGTATCAGTCTTGAATCTCTTGATTCCAAATTTTCATACTTGATAATAATTAGGTAGGTTGCCAGTCCCAACCTTTGGAGGGGACTCGTGAGTTGACACATGTCCGCAAGATAACTTGTGCCCAACATCTATATCTATACATTAAAATGGAATGTGCCAAGCTGGTACTTCCTTGGTTTTTGTTTCTTCTCAAAGGCTCTTTACTTTTTTTTTTGTTTTTTTTGAATTTGTCTAATTTTAGAATTGAACAAAATAACTCAAGTGTACAATCACCTTAAAACTTTTAATTCTCCTAATTAACACACCATTAGCTCTTTTAATTATCTCTCCTTATTAATTATGTTATTAACTCTCTCCTTAAATAACTCATGCCACTAACTCTCTCTCTCTCTCTCTCTCTCTCCATTACTCCATTAATAAATTGCCTAAAATTCATAGAGCTAGGTCCTCAATTTTGCTTATAAATAAAGCCCATGCACCACATAGGTCTTGACTAGTACATGTTGAACTGCTATATATAGTGTGCATCAAGAGTTTTACCAAAATTCCTGCTTTGTGAACTCTCCAAACTTATGATTCTTCACTTTAAATGCCTCTATAAAACAATGGTCTAACCATTTAAACTGTCCAATAGGGAAAGGCTATGATCTTCACTTAGCAGGTCCATGTAGCAAATAGGAAAAGGTTATGAGCTTCACTTGGCAATTTTAAAGTAATTTAACTATTAAATGGTTCTTTGAATTTCAAAAATTAACATTAGAATTCATCATAATTTTGATATACATAATAAAATATTATTTATGCAGAGACATGAATCAGATTGTCTGAGTTGGATCCAGGTCTATTGTACTTGTTCTCATTTCTCATTGTTTCAGTAGTAATCTACCCGACCCAGACCACACCTGACCCATTGATAGGCCTACTCCCAAGTGGTTTGAATAAAATGTTGGTCGCACCTTTTTTATATTTTAGCCACATGTACAGCTTAAAAAATTTGTTTTTGGATGGTTTGAATATATAGATGCATCAAGTACTTGCAAAAACAAGCAACACCAACTGGCATGGAGTTTGCAGATGATGAATTTGTATTGCACATGGAGGGAACTGCAGGATCACAGAGGGTTGTGCGCCACATTGGAGGAACAAGTTGGCCTGGTTTGACTCAAAATTTCACATATCCATTATGACATAAAGTTAGATTGATATGTTGGGTTGCATATTCCCAGGATTATCCTAATCATGTTGCTTTTTCTGGGTTGGCTAGAAACAAGTTGGGTTGGTTTATCTAATTATGTGTTATGTTGCCTATTCCTAGGGTTATCCTAATCATGGAATTGCTTTTTCTAGGTAGACTCATACTAACGAATTACGCTCTTTATTTTGAGGCATCGGGAGTAATATCATATGAGGATGCAATTAAAATTGACCTTTCGAAGAATGCTGATCACAGTGTGCAACCCTCTTCCACTGGCCCTTGGGGAGCTCCAATTTTTGACAAGGCCATAATTTATGAATCATCCCAACTGTAAGCTGGAAATTTCATTACTCAAAATGTATATAAAAGGCTTAATTTTTTAAGCTGATATATGGCTCATATTCTATAATGGAAAGACACTTAGTGTAGACCCTTCTAAGTCCAAAAAAGAAGGATTACCATGCATCAACAAATTAAATAAGTAGCCATATTATCTTAATTGCCCATTTTACCTTTTCAAGTAATTGTGTAAATGATTGGATGGTTTCTATTACCCTAGGAGTACTCTTAGGGGAATACCTTGTGATTTATGGCTATGAAGTTGATGGGTGGTATTTGATCTACTTTTGAATAACCTTACACATCCATTTTATTTGTACTACTTATCTCCAGGTATAGATAATATAACCTAAATGTTTATGTGATAAACTTTAGTGGTATTAGAGTGTTGTGGGGATGACACAAATATTGTCCTTAGGGACTGGGTAATTTTGTAACAAAGAAACTTTTCCAAGTTAAAAGCATGTTCACCAACTTTGCAGATCAGAGGCTGTAGTGCTCGAATTCCCAGAGATGACAAGCTCCACACGACGTGATCATTGGCTTGCTTTAATAAAGGAAGTAATCTTGCTGCACCAGTTCTTGTTAAAATTCAAGGTTGAATCCACAATACAGGCATGGGAGATGCATGCAAGAACAATACTAGGGATTGTTAGGCTCCATGCAGCTAGAGAGATGCTAAGAATTTTTCCCCCAGTTCCCACCAACTTTTTAATCTTTGCCTTGTTTGAGGAGTTGCCTAAGGGGGACTACGTGTTGGAAGAGGTTGCCAATGGTTTGAAGCAGGTTAGTAGCATTAACCCATGCAGTGCAGGCTCTATCCTCTGTAGTTTAAACATGTCCCACCCAAGTATGTCAAACATAAGAGTAAATGAAGAGATTGAGGAAAGTATAGCAGGTGGCCAAGCTGACAATCTCTTATCATTGGAGACTAAGATTAATAAAGTAAGGGAGGAAGCAAAGGAGGTTGGTATTGCCAAGGCAACTGTTGATGGATTGAAAGAGGAAGGGATTAGCGATAACATCCTTGTTCTAATGGTAAGCTCCTTGACAAGTTTGATTACTTTGACATGCTGGTGATCTACATCATCTGTTAGAATGCATGCTTGGTCGTTTTTCTGAATGGACGGATTATCTTAAGTTTCATATATATAGCATAAGTGACACCTCACTGAGGGTGTATGCGTTAAAACAGGTTATAGAAACACCTGTGTATTAGTAGATTTCATCTGCACATGAATGTGGATTTTGTTATCTCATATTCGTTATAGCCATCTAATATTATATCAATGGGTTGTGCAGGAGCTAATAAGTCCATTTAAGACTGTGTTACCATGGTGTCAAAGAGTCATTTCGTGGGAGAAGCCTTCATTCACCGTTTTTGTACTTTCCATGACTGTTATAATCATCTACAAGTAAGTTTTATTCCCAACTATGTCCATCATTTTGCTACTTGATCAACACTGATGCTGTTCATAAGTTAGAAAAGAAAGTAAATTACCAATCTATTTAGCTAAGGCAAATGTTTTACTTCAAGACATACTCAGTAACATTTTTTACAACATAGGGAGTGGATAGGCAAAATGCTGGCAGTATTCTTAGTGTGGGCAGTCGGAAAAATTCTCAAGGCAAGACATGATAGGACAGGGGAGAAATTTACTGAGGTCATTGTCTCCAATTCTTCTGATCAGACAACCGTGGAGAGCATTGTATCTGCACAACATCAATTGTTAAGTGTCTATTCAATGCTACAAACTGCAAATATCACAATATTGAAAATTCAGTCCATATTGCTTTCAAAAGCACCTAAGGTACTTATATCACAACTGCTGTTTCGTGTGGGTGTTATTTTTAAATAATAGCTTTGTGTTCTATTGGGTTTTCAATGTATGCACTGAAATTAAATACCAACATATCTGACAGAAATAACTTCAAATAGAAATTTTAAGAGTAGATCATGATGGGAACAGCATAGCACCGCAACCATGATTTTTTTTTAATGACTAAAGGATAGGAGTGTGGTATTCATATTCCCTTGCCATGATTTTCACTGTACAACCTCTGCCTCCCCACATGCCCTTGATACACTAGTTACTGGTTTGTGTAGTTCTCATTACACTATGTCTAGTGAGACGGATGATATAAGAATAAGGGATCGACTATGATACTGGAAAAAGCTTATAATAACTAATCAACCGGAACCACAAAAGTTGTAAATTGGTAAAAGCTCTTCTGGTATCAGAGGCCATTGGTTGGAGTTATTTTCTATTTCCATTCCATTATCTGCCTTTATTGAACACTGGTTATAGGTTGAAGGAATTGTATCTTCTAATTTTTAAATCCTTCATTGCAGCACACAGATCAGGTAATGGTAGTGATGATTGGATTGGCAATGTTGTTAGCAGTAATCCCGTTCAAGTTTGTCATCATAGCCACCACATTGTATTACTTTGTGATGTCTTCAGAGATTGGGAAATATATGGAAAATGAGCATAGCAACAGACGAATGAGGGAGTGGTGGAACTCAGTTCCAATTGTTCCCGTTCGAGTTGTAGAGAAAACTCCATAATCTGTTTGAAGTACTACTGTCTTGTTTGGTCGTCTTTTCCGACGGCTTCTGCTTGGTTACAATATAATATGGGACAATGTGGACGACAGAGTGCTGATGGATGTACTATATATACTTCCTTAGACTGTTCTAAAGAATATATCAGAAAGCTTTGCATGCAAGAAGCAAGAATATACCTGGTCATGAAGTAATTTTATATTGGTTTACACCATGTTTTGTCCTGCTTATTCAATTGTTCTTCCTGGATTTACAGTACTTTTCTGGACTGCGAATTTGGTTCCTAACGGTTAAAGCATTGATGGTTTTACACAATGCCGTGGTACTATAATCCATTTTGTTATCAGAGGTTTAATTTTGTTAACACTGGGCCATAAATAAGTCGAGCTGCAGGTTTGTCATAGGTCCTCCTAATCAAATTCAACTAAACTGGCCCAAATTAGACTTAATTTTGTTAACAAGCAACAGGCATTGCCTGGGAATCTCAACATTTGAATTTTGAAATTCCTGCACAACGGATTGATAGTCTGATACAGTACGAGATTGCACTAATTAACCGAGTAAATATTTACAAAGTTGGTTTTTAAAGACTATCTTAGCATGCATAGGGGAGGATGGTGTAGTATAGAAGGAGGCTAATAATAAGTTCTATATAAGTTAGGACTACTACAACAAGAAACCAAGTAAGCAATTATTAAGTTAGCGTTAGCATGAAATTTCTATCCTAGTTTGAGTTTATCAAGTTGGTGTTAACACAGAACTGTTAGATCGTGATTTTTGAATTTTTGTTCAATTAGGACTTTTTTTTTTGAGGAGTTTTAATAAGATTTTATTAAAGAGTCTTATAACTTTTTTGTAGGAGCCATAAGGGTATAAGTCTATATAAAGAGTAGCTAGGGTAAAGTTAGGGGAGTTTTATGTTAATTTTCTCTTAAGTATTTTGTGAAGAATTGTTCTTTCTATTTATTTCAGTTTTTTCTTTTTTCCTTAAATCTTCTCTGATCATGATTTGTTTCCGTTCTGTGCTAGTTGGTATCAGAGTTCATGTTTGATCATTTTTTAGATTATGGCTCCTAAGAAGAAACAAATGGTTCACATTATGGATAGACCTGTTCATGGGCCGGGTGGCCCGATGGGTTGGCCTGGCCTGGCCCGACCCCCGGATGGGCTTGAACACGCTTATAGGCCCGTGGGCTTAAATTCGGGCCAAAAAGCCCGGCTCGCAATAAATTTGAGCCGGGCTTGGGTTTTGTTAAAATAGCCCGGCCCGACCTAATATTAAACTTAAAATTAGTTAAGTGATTATGTCCATTTGAATAATTTTTTTGATTTAAGAATGTAAAATTGTTTTAAAATATAAAAGAAAGGGAAAAATACCATCTTGTGGGCCTATTGTTCATTTAAATAGAAAAAAAATACTATCTGAATTTTTAATTCTAATTTGAATAGGGAAAATTGTTTTTTTTTTTTCAATTAGGTCGGGCTTCGGGCTCAGGCTCGGGTTTCGGGTTTTTTACTAGGGCTGGGCTCGAGCTCGGGCCTAGTATATTTTCATTAGTGATAAGTGAAAGCCCGGCCCGAGCCTGGTCCGGCCCGGCCCATGAACAGGTCTAATCATGGAGTAGGAACTCAACAACAAAACATAAGAAGCAATGGCAGAGCTAAGAAGACAAGTCGATACATTTGCTCAAGAGTTGAAATCGTTGTGAGGGGACAGTGTCTCCGATGCAAGTGCCTCTGCTCTTTTCTTTTCATCATCAAGGCAAGCGTCTAGGTCAGCTGTAGTTGTAGATGGTGACAAAAAATGGTGGAAAACGAGTTTCAAGATTAAGATCCCAAAGTTTCATGAAGGTTTTTCTACTCAGCAAGCAACTAAACTGACTGTAATTGCAAGTGGAAAACAGAAGCGATGTGAAACAGATCTCAGGTTTGAGTTCTTGGAGTTTAATGGAGGTATAACCTCAAATGAATTCATGGATTGGAATTCCATAGAGGAATTAACGATTTTAGAGTCTGAAGGTAAAATCATATCTTATGACTTTATTGATTGTACTAATATTGTTGAGGATTGTAACAAAAATCTTGTATGGCCATTTTCCTTAACAACATTTGTTGAAGAACATGTTGATTGGACCAAACCTCCAATCTATGATGAAGAATCCATTGCTCAAGAGGAGTATGTTATCCTTCATCATGATTTACAAGATGATGGAGATAATACTTATTATGTTGGGGGTTATGATCACATTGTTTTTATACAAGCATATGAGGATTCTTATTGGCAAACAATTTTGCAATGTCCAAAATGATCATTAAAAAAAGAAGTATCTTATATGAACTATAGGAAATATATTCAAAATATAAGATATATGATACAAATATTCAAATTCGTATTGGATGATTGCACCACCAGTTATCTGTTAGATGGTCAGAAACAAAGAACCATAGCAAAAGTGCAACAACATATATTGGTGCCTCTCATATGGTAATTTGAATCCGATGTTGGATTTTCTCCAATCCAAGGAGAATGATGTAGTATGAGATTTCACCAATTGAGTAAACATTTATAAAGTTAATTTTCGAAAACAATCTTAGCACGTATAGGGGGAGGATTATGTAATACAAAAAGAGGCTAATAAGTTCTATGTAAGTTGGGATCACTACAAGAAACATAAGAAACTGGGATGACATTACTAACCCAACTGAGTAAGCAATTACCAAGTTAGCACCAGCATAAATTTTTATCCTATTTTGAATTTACCAAGTTAGCGTCAATGCGGAACTTCTACCTTAGTTCATAATTACCAAGTTAGCGTTATGTTGCGATTTCTGAATTTTTGTTCAATTAGGATTTTCTTTTTGAAGAGTTTTAGTAAGATTCTATTAAAGAGTGTAATCATAGATTAGGAATTTTTTTTGTATGAACCATAAGAATGTAAGTCTATATAAAGAGTAATTTGGGTAAAACTAAGAGAATTTTATGTTGATTTTCTCTTAAGTATTCATTGAAGAATTTTTCTTCATGTTTATTTCAATTTTTGCTCTTTCTTTGAAACTTATCTGAACATGGTTTATTTCCGCACTGTGCCAAGAGTCTGAACAGATCATCAAGTGATTTCAAACCATACTCCCTAGCCTTCAAAAGGACTTTGGAAATAACCATAAGTTCCGACTCCACTACATCCAACAAAACAAAACGACAAAACGACCACCTGCAGCACCAAGAAAAGATTTAGTGAGAGACACAACACATATGGATTCATATATCTTTCCTCCGGGTTCGACTTCGACAATGATATATGAAAGAAATGTAACCAACCAGGTTGAAAGATACGTAAACAACCATCAGGTGTATTTATCAGAATTCGGGGATTTTGAGTGGTCAAAAATCTTGGAGTACCGGCAGTATGGCTATTCCTACCTAGCTACCTCCATCACAGAACCAGATGGATTTATTAACCCAATTAGGAACATTCAATTTAAGGCTTCCCTCCCGATCCTAGTAGCTTCTATCCGCAGAACACCCCTGGCCATTCTTGACCAAATGAATTACATATTTGATGCGACTCAATCTCGCTGTTCCTAATTGGAGATGATTTGGCTTTCAGTAGACGATGGAGTTGGCTAGTATGCACAGAGAGAATCAAAGAACACGCGGGTGCTTACCTGACGAGGTCGCTCTGATGCTTAAGTCAGTAATTTGCGAGTTGAAGGTAGTTTAGAAAGCAAGAGATTTAGTAAGTAGAGATTACGTGTACCTTTGCCCCCGGAGGGTTGGGGTCTTTATATATTGGAGTCCTCGCGGGTTTTTCGGAGTGGTTTCGGGATTCTTGCTATGATGAGGCCCGTTTCCGTATTAACAGGAGATAACGCCACTAGCCGATAAGGCATATTATTGCCGCCCGAATCGGTCGGAGGAGATAAGGTTAGCTGTTACGAGGCGTGATCCCGCAAAGCGTGGAATATGATGGCGTGATCCTCGGGGTTGTCATGCAGAGGTCGGTCAATACTACCCGAGCTAGTGCCCATTGGATCTGACCTGGTATCAATGCTAGAGTGCCTTGGAACCGAGGTGATCCTGATGTGATCGTATTTCGAAGTGAACTTGCTCCAAGGTGGACTTGCCCCAAGGTGGTTCGATATCCGAGCTCGGTTCGTCGCAAACATCAGGATGAGTTGTCATCCTGTCAATTAGGTCATGTCCACGTGTCCCCCTATTACTAGGTTGGGCCAAATCACCCTACATCAATTGCCCCCCACTCCCTGGGCCAGGGGTCCTGACCTGGTGCGGGGAGTTCATGACGAGCCAAGTGGATTTGGTTCGAGGACCGGGCAGCTAGTCAGATGAATCACGGGTCGGACTTGTTCGGCCACCCGACTCAACTAGGAAAACTCAGGCCACGTCTGCCTTACGCGCGGACGTCACACGATTTATAAACTCCGTGGACATCAAAAAACGAGCTAAACCGATTTATCCTCGGGAATTGTGCAACCGGTTTTCCTAGGAGCCGTTGGATTGCTTCGATCTCGACTATTGGTTCTCGGACATAGCAGCTATAAATAGGGGGTCTGCGACTCATTCTTCTCGCAACAAATTCAGTGATTGAGCTCTCCCGAGGTCACGTTGGAGTCTGCCAGCTCGGTCTTCTTTCTGTTTTCCACTTTGTTCTTTCTTTTCGGTGAGTCCCCATTCCTTAGCTTTTTCATGCTCTCCGATTATGTCGAGTTCTAGCATAGATAGGCTCGTAGATAGTGTTACGAGGTGGAGGGTGTTGTTATTCTTGCCGGGGAAGTCAGACCGTGGTAGGGTGCCTCCCCTCTCCGGTCTTTGGAGGAAACCTCTAACCCCGAAGTTGAGCCATCTCGGCTTGGGGAGACTGAAGCTCAAGAAGAGGGTCCATCCTCTAGGTCGGGGGCCCCAACTTCTTCCTGAGGTCGGGATCCCGATGACTTCGGGCCTTCCAAACTGTCTTCAGACAGACTGACTGCTGTACTTAGTGTCCCGTTATTGTCTCCCCGATAGCTTAGTCTTTAGTGTACCCTTAGGTCAATACCCATGGGCTCATGATCACAATGAGCTCGCCATTTTTGAGGAGCAGCTTGTGGCAGGGCTGCACTTCCCACTTCACCCTTTCCTTATAGAAGTAGTTAAGTTTTACAACATCACCATTGACCAGCTTCATCCGAACTCTAGTCAGAATATCGTTGGCACTATTTCTCTATTCTACTCCTACAGCCGACCTCTAACCCTGGATATCTTCAGCTCGATCTGTGCGATCAA